CACTGAAACGGCAGTTGATGCAATTACATGTATTCTAGAATTTGCCCTTGCCTTCACATCACGTGACCTCCATAGATAGCTACACTCTGTAATAATCTCATAAGAAAATATTACAAAAACCAAATATTTTAGAAAAAAAGGGAACTAACTTTGTCGGAATGAATTCATTAACCATTGGTAGGCTAAGTATGGGAAATTGTCCTTTACCCCAGGAAAATCCACTTTTTGGCCAAGTGAACAGTTGTTATCCCTTTAAGAATTGTACAAAAGAACTAGCTGTTTTTTATTACTCGAGCAAAATAGTTTTCGGTATAGATGCACATGTATATTAAAATTATTTTTCTTCAGTTAAAAATGGCGCCGTCGTCTGTTCTAATGCTGTTGCTATGCAACCACATTGTACATGCGCACTGGAGTCCTACCGCCCATGAGATCATAGACATGACGTATGCGGTGTCAGAGGACAGTTTAGTCTGGCCGGGGCGAGAGAGAGATGGGTTTCGATACAAACGTATCTACAGGGGTCCAGTGGATTTTGGAGCTGGGTGGTATGTAAATAAATAGTAGGCCTATACCTCGAAATGAATCAGTGGCGGATTTAGAGGGGGGTCAGGGGGTCCTGAACCACCCTTCGGTTTCTGAAATATATATAGCACCAATATTCCCCTCTTGAAACGAGAATTTTGACTAGCCAAATTATAGTTCTAATCTGTACCAAATGACACTGTTTCCTCTCCAAAACACGGCGATGGACGGCTTCACATCCGAGGCCTGTTATTTCGGACCCCCCCCCCCTCAAATAATCCTGGATCCGCCTCTGCTGAATATCCCGTGGTACCAACTAGCGTGTAAAAAGCAACATTTTTTATCTACGTCACAGTTAAGCACGTCTATATGTAGTAGATTCAATATTCATCATTATTATCTTTTCCCTCTTCTTCTTTGTTTTTGCAAATGAGAATTTTTTTATAATTGACCTCCAAATATTCGAGACGAACCTTATGTTCAGTATTAGCTGTTGATTGAAGAAGAATTGGCATACGCAAAAGTAGAAAGATACCTTGTATGTTGTTCAAGTTCTGAACAATGATTAAATTATTGACTCTTCAGGTTTGAGAGCAATGACATTTGCCAACCAGAACATCAAAGCACCCACATGGCCGCGCCTGCGCATTTTGCTCGCGGAAAATGGCACGTGCAAGACATTCCACCTCATAGGTTTTTCGGTACAGCGATCAAAGTCGACATATCTGCCAAAGCAGACCTCAATCCCAACTCCAACCTTGAGGTGGAAGATCTGATGAAATGGGAAAGGGTCAACGGCAAAATACCAGACGGTGCCATCTTGTTTGTTTTCACTGGTTGGGGAAAATATATCAACAATCGCGCTGCATTCTTTGGTTATAACGGCACAGGTAATGCAAGAGACAGTGACGGAAACTCCCGTCTTAATTTCCCCGCAGTTGCCGAAAGCGCCGCCAAATGGCTGGCAGAAAACAGGAGAATCTCAGCCGTTGGAATTGACAGTCCCTCGATAGGACCAAGTAAAACTGCTTTGGCGCATCTTCCTCTAAGCAAAAACAACATCTACATGGCAGAGGTCGTGGCAAATCTGGACAAACTTCCACCCAAGGGGTATTCAGTGGCCCTGCTGCCTATTAAAATAAAAGACGGCAGTGGTGGCCCCTTGCGGATCATTGCGTTCAAAACTGTCCAAATTTCTCCCGGCCCGGCTGACGTAATTGACCTTACGCACACCCTTGATAACAACACGGTAGTGTGGCCGGGTAGTGCCAGTTTTGAACTACTAGTGAGACGTAGAGGTTATACCAGACTGGGCAAAAATACTGTATGGTGCGTATGCTTTGGTCACCGAGTGAACGTTCTTTTTAAATAGTAAATTTTGCTAATTGAAAAAATTAACTTGATCAGAAAGTTGTTCAGTGGGCCTATTTCACGTTACGTTACTGTTCTACATTGATTTGTTGATCCTCAGTAATATTGCTTACTCAGGCCTACCCAACTACCAGACTCAGCACCGAACGATCCTGAATTCACCGGTAGATCAGACCTCACTACCCGTTTTTAAGGTGTGTGTCAGATCGCATTACACAGTATCAGACGTGACACCGCTCTTGCCTAGTACGCGATGTGATAGTGACAATTCTCAGCGGGGTTAAAAAGCATTGCATCACCACTCAAAATTTGTTCAGGGTATGATACTGTGTAATGCAATCTGACACACACCTTGAAAACGAGTAGTGTGGTCTGATATACCGGTGAATTCAGGATCATTCGGTGCCGAGTCTGGTAGTTGGGTAGGCCTGTTACTTTTCTCCAATATTCCAGCTGGCAGTAAAGATCTAATATCTGTTTTTCTTAAAATTGTGGCATAAGTGTCTGATGACGTTTGAACGGAATAATGGTGGATCATGTTAGCCTCAAAGCCCTAGTTTGACGTATCTAATTATAAACCAGCAACTGGAATTGATTGTCACCTTTATGTAGACACTTCTATATCATTAGGCTCGAGTCCAACGACTTTTGTAGCCCGGAGCATGTTGGGACGAATCTGGATGCGCCTGCGCACTTCATCAAAGGTTCGTGGCGACTCCATCAAATTCCAGCCCACACCCTCATTGGTCCTGCCATTCGAGTGGATATTTCCAAAAAAGCCGCAAACAACCCGGACGCTACGTTGACTGTTAAAGACCTCCGTGATTGGGAGTATGAGAACGGTCGGATACCGGACAATGCTCTGGTAATTTTGTACAGTGGATGGGGGAATTACGTGAACGATTATGAGAAGTACCTCGGAACTGCTAACCGCACCCACTGGAGAAACGATCAAGGACAGCCTCTCCTTCATTTCCCCGGTTTCTCAGGAGAGGCAGCTGAGTGGTTGGTAAACAACCGAAAAATCATCGGAGTAGGGACTGACGCATATAGTGTTGACGCAGGCCAGACGACATCTCTCCCGGCCCACGTGGCTTTTCTCCGCGCCAGGCTGCTCGCGATAGAGAGCGTGGCCAATCTCGACAAGCTGCCACCAACCGGATACACTGCATTTGTCTTCCATATGCTTCATGTTGACGGGAGTGGGGCGCCAACGAGGCTAGTTGCCGTGAAAAACTCGGCAATATCGTTCAACCATCATGATATTGTCAAAAAGATATATGCGAGAAAGTATTCAAGAAAATATTCCAGAAGGTTTGGTTTTTAAGCTTGATTCTGCCACTTTCGCTTTCGCCTGAATATATCGAAACTGGCACTGTCACATATTGACCTAATCTTCGTTACGAAATTGCAACTTCTTCAATTCTGCTAACTGATTAAGGCCTCTAACATACTTTTCAGTTGTAAAATTGATTTGTATTTATAACATATGCATTACTAGAAAGAGACAGGTGTTGGGATTTACTTCATTGACTTTATATCATATATCGAAGAAACATTTTACGAGATATCTAAATTAACCATTGGTTACAGGTGCTGGGTTTTATTTCATTGCCTTTATACCATATATCGAAGAAATATCTATATACCTGTATCTATCTATACATCAATATATCTAAATTAACCATTGGTTCAATGTTTCCGGTGAGATTCATCACCTTCATTTATCCCAGTGTTTTTGGTCCAGCTGAAAGCAATCTTGTTTTTTCTATATACATACGTAAATTAAAAATACACTGACAGTCTTACAAAATATTGATAAAGCCTGGATGGCATTTGACAGTGATTTGACAAACAATAGGGGAGACCGGGGCTAGTTGGACCCCGGGGTAAGTTGACCCCCCATCAAGGCTCTTTAATAAAGTTACTTTAAGATGCTTAATTATTTCATTTGGACTCACTGCCGACGCTTTATTAGCACTATTGGATACGGCCACTTTACAAAATGATGTGATCAATTCTTTGTCATAAATTGATGGGGGCCAACTTACCTTGGGGTCCAACTAGCCCCGGTCTCCCCTATCTGTGCGGTGCTCATATGCTGCCTGTAAGGGCGCATTCAGAACAAGATGATCAGCCAACTAAATATGGCCGACCCCACTTCAGAAGTGATGCCGCTGATTCTCGGTAGTCTCCCCGCCATTAAACGGATTAAATCTCGGCTCCCCGGTTTCTAGGCCCCTGCAGCGACGGCTCGTGTGGAGGCGGGGAGAATGTCGTTTTTGAAGTGGGGTCGGCCATATTTAGTCGGGGGATCAGTTAGTCCTCGGATCATCTGTTCTAATGGACCCTGGGTCATTTTTTGTGCGGCGTCTGTGCAGAGGCAAGCAATAATGATACGTATTCGCAGCCTCCGTAGTCTATACGATTTTGTCAAATTTAAACTTTTGACAAGTTTTCAAATCGGAAGCCCGTCAGCCATTCCTTATCGTAGATGGAAGCGCACAGTTCCAGCCGGCCAGTTCAAACATTGTGCGTGTACTTGCGGCAATCGTGATAGTGGTTGAACCTGTTGTTGGTCTCTTTCCCTTACACCTTTGGTGGTTTTATGGTGCATAACAATAGTAAAGATGTTTAAAACCTAGCGTAATTGTATGGATTTGAAGTTGTGCGTTTTCTAACTCAGGCCACATGGGCGAAATAATGGTAAGGGGCTGCATCAACAACGTACCGATCTTCAAGAAAGCACGGAAGGCGTGCGGCAACTGCTAGCAGACTAAAAGGACTCCGTGTGATCACTTTTCAACCGACAACCAAAATTTCCCTACGCGACTTCAAGTTCATGTCAGAGAAATGGCAAAGTACCTTCACGTAATGTATAAGTACTCGCATTAGCCCGTAGCTACTAGCGATGTCAAAGAAATCGTGTACATTTTATCGTGCGACTCCCTTGGTAAATTTAATCAAGGCTCAAGTTGACAAATTTAACTTTTTTGACGATTTAGTTTCAACCCGACAATAAACAACAAGTTTCCATGTTCCAGCTTTTATTTCTCCTTTACATCAATGTCACTCGGTTTATTATAGCGAAATCAAGACAATAAAGCACTTACAAGTTTATTTATTGTATAACTAGCAATAATTGCAACTAATAAATAAGATCACCTCTTGACTTATAAAGGTGTATAATTTTCTTCACATATTTTTACTCAAATAATAAACATTGCAGAAAAACATCTCAATGTATTAAAATGTATATTAAGTGGCATATAATTGATGAGCAAATAAATTGTGTATATTAAACAATTCGTGGTTAAAAAATCTTGATGTGACTGCTTTTATATAGATAGAACCAACTGGGTCTTATGTAACTTGGGTAAGGCAACTACAATAAAAATTATGAAAAATAAAAATGTATACCCTTATTTTTTCAGAAGACAGTTACATCATGGCATATAGACAGACATTTTTCTTTTTATCCTCAGCACGGAAAATGTGTCCACCTATACTCAAAAAGAGAATTAATAAAATCAGTAAATCTGGCAACTCCACAAAGCCATTTTGCAGTCCAGAAAATAAGTTGGCAAACTTCAATGGATAGGTTTCTTATCTGAAATTAATTTTGTAAATTGCACTGCAATAATGAATGAAAATTTAATATTATACAGACTGCATACACAAAAATATTTTAGTTACACAGATTTCACGCATATCATATTATGTGATACAAGCGGCAGCAAAGTAATCCACAATTCCAAATGCCACATAGAAGCAGTTCCAGGCACTGTTCTCCACCTTTAAATGTGCTATCCTAGCTGTGCCAACCTTCATTTTGGAAAAAAAATGTTTGTAAATTCCATGTTAATATTCAAATATTATTGTTTTTTTTTCTCTTTTCTCCCTCACATTTTTAAGTGTAGTAAGGTGGCACTACTGATGCAAAACTACCTTGTCTCTATTTTTCCTTGTTTAGCGCTTCTATGAATTCTTCTAATTTCTCTTGTATTTGTCTAACTTGCTCTGAAATGAAAAAAATGTAACATTTTAATGTCAGTCACTTACCATATATCATATTCATTTGATCAAGCCATGAGCAACGTTTTGTTTAATCTTTAAACATTTTTTGTGGGACCGAACAGTTGGAGTATGTTCCCATACACAGATCGATATAACAGGATCAATCCATATCCAAGGGGTTTTCTTGCTAAATTGCCATCAGCTTAAGCAGCTTATGATGTCTGGCACGCTTACTGAAGCTGTTTAACATTAATTTATTACTCCCTAATTGCAATTTAGCGAGAATCCCCTTGGAGACAGATCGCTCCAGAGTTAGTACAATAGGGTCTGGGAATGGTCCCTTATAGTAGGAATTCTGTAATCTGCAAAAAAGGCTCATTTCTGATGATGCAAGTAGAAGTACATACTTAGTTCCTCTGCCAGAGTTACCCTACGCCCTGTAAGCAGTTTTGATAGTTTAGGTTTGTCATCGCTGTATTCCTCCAGCTCATCTTTGATGTTCCTCTCTAGTCTTCTAGCTGTAATAAATGAGATGGAATATAATCAAGGCAGCTGATTAATTGCTCAAGTGTGTGTACACATGCACCTGTAATTGAGTGAACACGTGTGTGCATGCGTGCGTGCGTGCGTGCGTGCGTGCGTGCGTGTGTCTGAAAGAGAGAGGGGGAGGAAGAGAAAGAGAAAGAAAAAGTTATGAGAGTGTCTGGTGTTCAAAAGAGAGAGAGAGAGAGAGAGAAAGAGAGGCAAGTAGTGAGAGTGGCAGTTGTCCTAGAGAAAGNCGATCCTGAATTCACCGGTAGATCAGACCACACTACCCGTTTTCAAGGTGTGTGTCAGATGGCTGCTCGCGATAGAGAGCGTGGCCAATCTCGACAAGCTGCCACCAACCGGATACACTGCATTTGTCTTCCATATGCTTCATGTTGACGGGAGTGGGGCGCCAACGAGGCTAGTTGCAATATCGTTCAACCATCATGATATTGTCAAAAAGATATATGCGAGAAAGTATTCAAGAAAATATTCCAGAAGGTTTGGTTTTTAAGCTTGATTCTGCCACTTTCGCTTTCGCCTGAATATATCGAAACTGGCACTGTCACATATTGACCTAATCTTCGTTACGAAATTGCAACTTCTTCAATTCTGCTAACTGATTAAGGCCTCTAACATACTTTTCAGTTGTAAAATTGATTTGTATTTATAACATATGCATTACTAGAAAGAGACAGGTGTTGGGATTTACTTCATTGACTTTATATCATATATCGAAGAAACACTTTACGAGATATCTAAATTAACCATTGGTTACAGGTGCTGGGTTTTATTTCATTGCCTTTATACCATATATCGAAGAAATATCTATATACCTGTATCTATCTATACATCAATATACCTAAATTAACCATTGGTTCAATGTTTCCGTTTAGATTCATCAGCTTCATTTATCCCAGTGTTTTTGGTCCAGCTGAAAGCAATCTTGTTTTTTCTATATACATACGTAAAATAAAAATACACTGACAGTCTTACAAAATATTGATAAAGCCTGAATGGCATTTGACAGTGATTTGACAAACAATAGGGGCTAGTTGGAACCCGGGGTAAGTTGACCCCCCATCAAGGCTCTTTAATAAAGTTACTTTAAGATGCTTAATTATTTCATTTGGACTCACTGCCGACGCTTTATTAGCACTATTGGATACGGCCACTTTACAAAATGATGTGATCAATTCTTTGTCATAAATTGATGGAGGGCCAACTTACCTTGGGGTCCAACTAGCCCCGGTCTCCCCTATCTGTGCGGTGCTCATATGCTGCCTGTAAGGGCGCATTCAGAACAAGATGATCAGCCAACTAAATATGGCCGACCCCACTTCAGAAGTGATGCCGCTGATTCTCGGTAGTCTCCCCGCCATTAAACGGATTAAATCTCGGCTTCCCGGTTTCTAGGCCCCTGCAGCGACGGCTCGTGTGGAGGTTGGAAGAATATCGTTTTTGAAATGGATTCGGCCATATTTAGTCGGGGGATCAGTTAGTCCTCGGATCATCTGTTCTGAATGCACCCTGGGTCATTTTTTGTGCGGCGTCCGTGTAGAGGCAAGCAATAATGGTACGTACACTGTATTCTTTACGAGAAGTCTTTCCGATTTTGTCAAATTTAAACTTTTGACAATTTTTCAAATCGGAAGCCCGTCTGCCGTCCATTATCGTAGATGGAAGCGCACAGTTCCGGCCGGCCATTGCCATCAGTGTGCAGTGGTCTTGCGGCAATCGTGACAATGGTTGAACCTGTTGTTTGTCTCTTTCCCTTCCACCTTTGGTGGTTTTATGGGGCATACGTAACAATAGTTTTAACGTCTTAAAAGATGTTTAAAACTTAGCGTAATTCACTTGCGTGGATTTGAAGTTGCGCGTTTTCTAACTCGAACCACATGGGCGAAATAATCGTGAGGGGCTCCATCAACAACGTACCGATCTTCAAGAAAGCCGCACGGAAGGCGTGGGGCAACTGCAAGGAGACTGAAAGGCCTCCGTGTGATCACTTTTCAACCGACAACCAAATTTTCCCAACGCGACTTCAAGGTCATGTCGTAGAAATGGCAAAGTACCTTCACGTAATGTAACGGCAATGTAACTCGCCTTAGACCGTAGCTACTTGCGATGTTAAAGAAATCGTGTGTATTTTATCGTGCGACGCCCTTGGTGAATGTAATCCAGGCTAAAGTTGACAAATTTAACTTTATGGGCAATTTAGCTTCAACCCGACAATAAACAACAAGATAGTTTTCATGTTCCAAGAGTTGCAGCTTTTATTTCTCCTTTACATCAATGTTACTCGGTTTATTATAGCGAAATCAAGACAATAAAACACAAAGAGTAATGTTACCTAAAACAGAATAGCACTTACAAGTTTATTTCTTATATAACTAGCAATAATTGTAACTAATAAGTTAGATCACCTCTTGACTTATAAAGGTGTATAATTTTCTTCACAATTTTTATTCAAATAATAAACATTGCAGAAAAACATCTCAATGTATTAAAATGTATATCAAGTGGCATATAATTGATGAGCAAATAAATTGTGTATATTAAACAATTCCTCATGTTTAAAAAATCTTTATGTGACTGCTTTTATATAGAACCAACTGGGTCACATATAACTTGGGTAAGGCAACTATAATAAAAATTATGAAAAATAAAAATGTATACCCTTATTTTTTCAGAAGAAAGTTACATCATGGCATATAGACAGTCAGTTATCTTTTTATCCCAAGCAAGTCAAACTGTTTACATGTCCTTCTACACTCAAAAGAAGAATTAATAAAATCAGTAAATCTCGACAAAGCCATTTTGCAGTCCAGAAAATAAGTTGGCAAACTTCAATGAAAAGGTTTCTTGTCTGAAATTAATTTTGGAAATTGCACTGAAATAATGAATGAAAATTTAATTTTATACAGACTGCATACACAAAAATATTTCAGTTACACAAATTTCACGCATATCATATTATGTGATACAAGCAGCAGCAAAGTAATCCACAATTCCAAATGCCACATACAAGCAGTTCCAGGCACTGTTCTCCACCTTTAGACATGCTATCCTAGCTGTGCCAACCTTCATTTTGGAAAAAAAAAATGTTTGTAAATTCCATGTTAATATTCAAATATTATTGTTTTTTTTTTCTCTTTTCTCCCTCACATTTTTAAGTGTAGTAAGGTGGCACTGTTGATGCAAAACTACCTTGTCTCTATTTTTCCTTGTTTAGCGCTTCTATGAATTCTTCTAATTTCTCTTGTATTTGTCTAACTTGCTCTGAAATGAAGAAAATGTAACATTTTAATGTCAGTCACTTACCATATATCATATTCATTTGATCAAGCCATGAGCAACGTTTTGTTTAATCTTTAAACATTTTTTGTGGGACCGAACAGTTTGAGTATGTTCCCATACACAGATCGATATAACAGGATCGATCCATATCCAAGGAGTTTCTTGCTAAATTGCTTTCAGCTTAAGCAGCTTATGATGTCTGGCACGCTTACTGAAGCTGTTTAACATTAATTTATTACTCCCTAATTGCAATTTAGCGAGAATCCCCTTGGAGACAGATCGATCCAGAGTTAGTACAAAAGGGTCTGGGAATGGTCCCTTATAATAGGAATTCTGTAATCTGCAAAAAAGGTTCATTTCTGATGATGCAAGTAGAAGTACGTACTTAGTTCCTCTGCCAGAGTTACCCTACGCCCTGTAAGCAGTTTTGATAGTTTAGGTTTGTCATCGCTGTATTCCTCCAGCTCATCTTTGATGTTCCTCTCTAGTCTTCTAGCTGTAATAAATGAGATGGAATATAATCAAGGCAGCTGATTAATTGCTCAAGTGTGTGTACACATGCACCTGTAATTGAGTGAACACGTGTGTGCGTGCGTGCGTGCGTCTGAAAGAGAGAGGGGGAGGAAGAGAAAGAGA